CAGTTACAATTAGAGTGCTGTCACATAACCAACAACTACAAGTGTAATTTATCTAGCGCAACTAATTTATTTTCCTGTTTATTGTGGCTTGTGTTCACTTTGTAGCACTTTTTGGTGTTTAACTTATTGTAATTCACTATTTTCCATGTTTACCTCCCTAAATTTTGCATAACCATTGCCTTCGCTTTCTCTTAGGACGACTATAACACCCAGGAAAAATTAGAAAGAATGTTTGTGGAAAATTTGGGAGGGGTGGGGGTGGGTGTAAACAAGGTGAATTATGGTCTTTGTGAAAATGGTGAATAACGGAGAATAGGATATAATATATCAAGCAGAAGACGCAGTGTTTCATCACCAGATGAAACACTGAGAGGAAAGTTGAAAATACGACGCGCAGCGGGATATTTTTGACGAACTTCGATATTTTTGACGAACTTTAATCTGGTGATGAAACATTGTGTCAACTGCTTGATACTACTTCTTAAACGAAATGATTTTAGAAGGAGAAATTAAGGATGCAAAAATCAGCAGTTTTTCATCTTATTTCCAAACACTCATTAAGCATTTATTTCCTTTGTAGTTTCTTTATGAATTAGTAATGAGTTTGAGAAGTGTAGATGAAAGTATATTTGAATAAACTCTACAAATTGAAAGAAAAGCTTGTCAAAATATTCGACATAAATTACAAGATTTATAACGTTACCTCGGCAATTTGGGTTTTCTATTCGTTCCCAGCAAATTCCAATGTGACGTCATCACCAATAAGCACGAACGGTGCCCAATACTTGACTGCATTAAACTCTTCAGATTCTCTCATACAGTTCATTGTTTGATTCAAGGATTCACTAGCACTTATCCCTTTCACAAGATGCTGATAGAAATTTTTCATGAATTCTAAAGTGGCTTCATCGTCAATCGCCCACAACGACACCAGAACAGAACGAGCACCAGCACCCAAAAATGCTCTTGCTATACCGACCACACCCTCGGCTTTGATCTCCCCACGAGCACTGTGACAGCAACTGAGTACAACTAGTCTTGCTCGCATCTGAACACCCATTACATCTCTCATCGTCAAAATGTTCTCTTTCACGCCTTCTGTTGACGCTAGGGCAATCTCTCCCGTTTCCATATTGCCATGTGCAGCGATATGCACCAAGGCAATAGAATCGAGTCGTGCTAAAACCTCATCCTTTGTGGCCTGTGTTCCAATTAGAGGTGTGCTGCCAAGCATTCTGCCAATCATTTCTACTTCCTTTCTGGCAGATGGTAGCGGTGGACGCTCTGTCAAAGGATCGCCCACTAGAAGTGCACCTGACTTGTGATGGTAATCTACTGGACAATCCGCAATCATTTTCAAGCTGGTGAGGGATGGAGCCACCCGAATTCTGAAAGACTCGCAAAGGTACTTGGAATTCGGGCCCTTAAATGCAGCAAAAGGAGCCAAGCAAAGTGGTCCTTCAGGGACAAACATGAGTTCAGTGCCCAAAAGAAGATCTTCAATAGGCTCAATGATTGTGTCATACAATGTGCTTAAGGTACTTTTTTGTAGGTGCAAGCATTTCGTTTGTTTGCCATCCTGGGGTGACCTTTTAAGTACAAGGTTATCCGCTAATTGAAGTGAACGATCTTCACACTTCACAAGATCCCTTGTTCCAATTTCCTGCTGCGCAACCTGTACGAGAACCCCCAAGAAAGTTTCAACGTCATCCTCAGAATGGATTTGTTTCTTTCGTAATTCAAATTTCTTTCCACTCTGGCAAACCCAGAAGATTAATTCGTTTTCTTCAAAAGCCACAAAAATTGTGTTTGGAGGAAGGTAACCAAGCAGTTCATTGACTGTTTTGACTCCTGTACCAGAACCACCATACGCATCACGGCTTTGAAAGGCATAACTTAGTTCCATAAGATCTTTTAAACCTTGTGCCCGTCCTTGCTCGACGGAAAACAAAGCTTCTGTAACGTTGCCCTCTGTCAACATCAAACGCCAAAGGCCTGCGTATACTATCTTGAATCGATCACGCAAGCTTATTTTCAACTCGTCTTTCAATTGAAGACGATCTCTAATATTATTAAACAAAGTAATAGCTTGTTGGTAATATTTTATGGCCGCTGTAACCTGTCCCAGAAATTTAAAAGATTTACCAAGATTCGCACAAGCTGTTCCCTCGCTCAAGGTGTCACCCAGTTCTTTCGCGATTTTCAGGTGACGTTCATGGTAGTCCTTAGCAGATTTAAAATCTCCCAGAAATTGATAGGCGTTGCCAATATATCCATTTGCAATTCCTTCTCCTGATCTGTCACCCAGTTCTTTCGCAATTTTCAAATGGCGTTGATGGTATTCTATGGCGGTTTTAAAATCTCCGAGACTGTAATGGGTGTTGCCAAGATTGCTGTACGCTTTTCCAACGTCCGATCTGTCACCCAGTTCTTCCGCGATTTTCAAACCACGCTCATAGCAGTCAAAAGCACTTTTGAGTTCTCCCAGATTGTGATGGGTGTTGCCAAGATGGCAATATGCTTTTTCTTCTCCGGATCTATTACCCAGTTCCTTAGCAATTTTCAGGCAACGTTCATAATATACCTTGGCAGTTTTGAAATCTCCGAGGTTGTCATAGGCTGCACCAAGATTGCCATTTGCATTTCCTTCTCCAGATCTGTCACCCAGTTCTTTCGCACTTTTCAGGTGACGTTCATGGTAGTCTATGGCTGTATGAAAATCTCCTAGACTGTGATGGGCTCTGCCAAGGTTTCCATACGCTATTCCTTCTACGGATCTGTCACCCGATTCTTTTGCAATTTTCAGGTGACGTTCATAGTAATCTCTTGCGGTTTTGAAATCTCCCATACTATGATGGGTGTTGCCAAGATTGCTATACGCCCTTCCTTCTTGCGACCTGCAACTCAATTCTTTGGCAATTTCCAGGTCACGTTGATGAAAGTCTATGGCTGTTTTAAAATCTCCCAGACTGTGGTGGGCGTTACCAAGATTACCATATGCATTTCCTTCTGACAATCTGTCACCCGATTCTTGTGCAATTTTCAAATGACGTTCATGGTAGTCTCTTGCGGTTTTGAAATCTCCCATACGGTGATGGGCGTTCCCAAGATTACCATACGCTCTTCCTTCCCCCGATCTGTCACTCCTTTCTTTGGCAATTTTGAGGTCACGTTCATAGTAGTTCATGGCTGCTTTAAAATCTCCCAGACCTTCGTAGGCGTTGCCAAGATTTCCATACACACCTCCTTCTAATCTATCATCCAATTCGTTCACAATTTCCAGAGAACGCTGGTGGTAGTCTATGGCTGTTTTAAAATCTCCCAGACGGTCAAGGACGTTTCCAAGATTGCCATATGCTATTCCCTCTCCGGATCTGTCACCCAATTCTTTTGTAATTTTCAGGCTTCGTTCATAGTAGTCTCTTGCGGTTTTGAAATCTCCCATAATGTAATGGGCGTTCCCAAGATTACCATACGCTCTTCCTTCTTCCAATCTTTCACCTAGTTTTATGGCAATTTTCAGGTGACGTTCATGGTAGTCCTTGGCTTTTTTAAAATCTCCCAGACTTTGATAGGCTATTCCAAGACTGCTATACGCATTTCCTTCTCCCAATCTGTCACAAAGTTCTTTAGCAATTTTCAAGTGACGTTGATGGCATTCTATGGCTGTTTCAACATTTCCCAGACTGTAATGGGCGTTGCCAAGATTTCTTTGCGCTCTTGCCTCTCCTAACCTGTCACCAAATTCTTCAGCAGTTTTGAGTTCGTGTTCATAGCAGTCTTTGGCTGTTTTAAAATCTCCCAGACTTCGATGGGTGTTTCCAAGATTGCTATATAACTCTACTTGTCCTGATCTGTCACCCAATTCTTTCGCAATTTCCAACCGACGCTGATAGTAGTCTCTGGCGGTTTCGAAATCACCCAGAGAGTAATGGGCGTTGCCAAGATTTCCGTACGCTCTTCCTTCTCTTAACCTGTCACCCAGTTCCTTGAAAATTTTAAGCTGACATTCTAGGTAGTCTTTGGCTGTTATATAATCTTCCAGCAAGAGAAAGGTGATGCCAAGATTGCCATATACTCTTCCTTCTTCCCCTCTATCACCCTGTTCTTTTGCTATTTTCAGCTGATGTTCTTGGTAGTCTATCTTTGTTTTGAAATCTTTCAGACTGCCATGATCGCGGGAAGTGCCAATGTTTTCAGTCGTGTGTGTCTTCTTCGCACAAGTTTTCTGCATAAAAGATGAAGTACAATGTATAAAAACCATTTGATATACAGCTGAAATTTTTTTCCCAACAGCGCGCTCTCATTGGTTACTTCGAGGTCACATGACTTCCATTCTAAAAATGAAAATGTTTCCCGCCAAAATCTCTGAGCGGGCAACATTGCAAAATCTATGAAGTCAGAGGGTAACAGTGCATTGCTACCCGCGAATGTTGAACGACGACCGCCGTTACAGCGAGGTTTAATGAATTTCCAGCTTCAAAATGTCCAGCTATATAACAAATCACTTAAATACTGGTCCCTCGGGAAATAGTTATTAATTTTGTTTCTCTCGAGACCAATCATTAAGAGTTAAATGTTACTTTATAGTTTCATAAATTTGAAATTTCCACCTAGAAATAAAGGCGTTAATTAAGGCCTAGCTTGCAAGTGACAAGTGTTTAAGGTGGCTGAACACAGTTTTGCGGGCGGTCAGCGGTGACTCGCGTGACGGCGAGTGTTTTAACTTAGACAAACAAACATGGCGGCGAAAAAGCAATGGTACACAGAAGACGATTTCTCAAAATCTATTCGCTAAAATTTTGTGATATTTGGCAGAATTTTTACTTTCATCGTATTTTAAATAATTAGAACTTTAAAATGGAAGTTGAACAGACGATTTTTGTGACACATCCAATAACTACAGTACAATTATGTTATTGATTATCTGAAAACCCCTCTGTTAAAATTTGGTCAAATAAGTTTCAAATGGTAATGATTAATTATAGTAAGCTGTGTGCAAGTTTATAGGAAAATCTGATGAATGAATTTTCTGTAAACTGAACATAAGTGAAATTTTAAAGTTGTATTCAATCGTTCATGTTGCCATGGAAACTACAAAAATGTCAAATTTTACCTGTCAATCAAAATCTTTCATCAATATAGTTTCCACTTGCCAAGTTTCAGCTTGTGAGCTGCAACCCTTCTCTTGCCATAATTTGGCAAATGACATATAGTCAGAAACTGCCAAAACTGTGTTCAGCCACCTTAATAGGGAAGTGTGAATAGGGTTGACCTGTTGCCTTTAATAACCAAGCATTTTCGTGGTAAGGTGTAAAATATAAACATTTTAACAGATAGTTGTCACCAAACTTCTCGTTCAAAAATGATCATGATCCCCAACAAAAACTGTCATTTCGCCAACTTTTAAATTGGTGTGTATAGGTAAATATGTGTCTTGTCTCGCTGAGATTAGATTCCGTATTATTTTTGTCACGGAATGATTGATAATAAGAAGAATTTGACACTAAATGTAAGAAAATTATTATTTTTTCTTAATTTTGAGAGAATATTTTGATAACAAAAATAATATTAACATTGGCTAAGAGAGATTGAACCGTCGATTGATAAAACGCCTCTTGAACAGTGTAAGCCATGATTGAGACGTACCGGATTTATGGGCAAAAGGTAACGTGCATTTCAAATTCAAAGTGCTCTTTAGAAAAGCGTACATTTATATATCACGAGCTTCTAGTGAGGATTGATTATTCTCTTGAGGTCGGGAATGGCTGTCAAGTTTTGATGGCTTTGATATTTTCATAAGAGAAGAGACTTGAAACTCCACCGATGCGGCATAAGTCGTTAAGTTACAGTCAAACCTGTATTAAGGTGACTGAACACAGTTTTGCGGGCGGTCAGCGATAACTTGCGTGACGGCGCGTGTTTTAAATTAGACAGACCAACATGGCGGCGAAAAAGCAGTGGGACACAGAACACGGTTTCTCAAAATCTACTCATTAGAATTTTGTGATATTTGGCAGAATTTTTCCTTTCATCGTATTCTAAGAAATGAGAACTTTAAAATGGAAGTTGAACAGACGAATTTTGTGACACATTTAATAATTACAGTACAATTAAATTATTGATTATCTAAAAATCCGTCTGTTAAAATTTGGTAAAATAAGTTTCAAATGGTAATGATTAATTATAGTAAGCTGTGTGCAAGTTTATAGGAAAATCTAATGAGCGAATTTTATGTAAACTGAGAAAAAGTGAAATTTTAAGGTTGTATTCAATCGTTCATGTTACCATGGAAACTACGAAAACGTCAATTTTTACCTGTTAATCAAAATCTTCCATCAGTGCATTTTTCACTTGCCAAGTTTCAGCTTGTGAGCAGCAACCTTTCTCTTGCCATGATTTGGCCAATGGCACATAATCACAAACTGCCAAAACTGTGTTCAGCCACCTTAAGCGAACTTCTATTTAGTCGTTATCTTCTATTACGCGGTCACCTACCAAAGTCCAGGAAATCATTTCCCACAATTACTGTAAAACTGCCTTATGTTAAGCGTTTACCTCTATTAAAGCGGTCGCGGTCACCTTTTCCGAGGTCCAACGAGTTATTTTTTATCGTCTTCACCTCTATTAGTCGGTCACTTTGACAATATGTACCATACTAGTGTAACAGATACAGTGTGTATGGCGTTAGTATTGGTCTCTTACTTCCTTTCTTTTGGCACAAGAAGAAGGTAGAGGCACTTTGAGGTCGTTTTGTCTTGGGATAGCCTCCCCCTTTGACTTTTTATATATGTTGTAGTATTTCAAAACGATTCAAAGGAAAGCCTTTGATCTTCTCTACTAGATGAGGCATATTCATTTTATGTGTGGTAGCGCTGCTGAAGGTCTGTGACGTAACCAAACATGATCGCCATCTTGGCAGCCATCTTGGATTTTATCAAGAATTAGAAATCAGGTAAAAACAGTAAGAATTAATAATATTTTGCGCTTAACATGTAAATAACACATAGATAATTACTTTGCATTATTTTATCCACAGAATTTACTTTTTTTCCTGAAAGAAGTTGAAAAAAAGCATTTTCGCTCAAAAATGGCTTGAACACCTGCTACTTATGACGTCATATCTCGTACCCATAGAAACTGACCATCACTAAACTTGTCTCAAAATGCACGCGAGGGATAAACGAACAGCTCCAGAAAACTTCAGGTGCTGAGGTTTTATCGTTTAGGAAAAAAAAAAACAGAAAAGTCTTAGAGGGAGTGGCAAGCCCCCCCCCTTGTACGTCCGAGGGTTTAACGGTCAACCTGCATATTAAAGCGGTCAGTAAGCCATTCCCCAAGGATGACTGCTAAATACAGGTTTTACCGTATTATGATATTTTGCGCCCCATTTCCGACTGGTAGTCTCTTTTGTTACGTTGTCCTCCGTCTGTAAACACAGTGGATTTCGCGTTAAAAAATTTAAGCTATACTGGATGTCTAACATTCTGTATAACCTGTTGGTACTCACATTATGAATGCTTCTTGGTTGTGATCTGCTAAATTGGCTTTTCAGTATGCCCATTCATTCACGGAGTTCAACAGTTACAAATTTATCATGAGCGCAGGATGATTTTGACATTGCAGACCCGAGCTGTAAGCAGGACTCTTGACACGTGCACTAAACCAGAAAAATGGCCTAATTTATCATGAGGTCCTATGCAGCTCAGAGGTAACAGCACCCAGTGCCGGAAACAATGGGCCGAACCCCATAGGGGACTCAGATGTTTTGCCCCATACTCGTGCCATAAAGAATAAAAATCTTCAAAAAGTAGTGCAGTAGCTGAATAATTAGTAAACCCAAGAGGAATAAAAGGTGATTCAAAAACTGGACTTTGAGAGCTAAAAGCACCTTTTCCAATAAACAACGCCTTTTCATCTACGTTGCGATCCTTATTTGGTTAACCCGGCTAGGTGTGCGTACACCATTCCAAGATTTTGTTTCACTGTCCGAAACATCATTTAGCTGAATGTTTATCAGTAAGTTTAAAAGACAGTTACATGTTTTTGTTTTTTTTACAGGCGGTTTAAATTACGGGAAGAATTCACAACTCTTTTTGAAGAAATTTCCCCTGAAGCACTAAAGAAATGCCTTCAAAAGCCATTTATTTATCAGCAAGAAAGTAACGGCAATTCGGTCACGATTTGCGCGTTGGCAGCAATAATTAAGTTAAAAATCGTCATTTTTGTGCTCAATTATATCACTGTTTGAGTTCGCGGCTCGGTAAATTTCCCACCACCATTAGCCACCTGTACCTCTGTCAACAATAGTTATTTATTTATCATCCTTACCTTTTCTGCGAGGCTTACTTGCAGTTTCCTTTGCTCTTCCACACACCTACTTCGTACTTCCAACAAATTTTGATTATTCGGGGCGATCTGGTATCAGTTAAATCTGTCAATAACTCTTTTTCTTATATACTAAAACAGTGGATAGTGTTTTTCGCGCGCTCTGATTGGCTACTCAATCAGTGAATATCCTGCACTATTCACTGATTCACCTCCAGTTCCTCCGAGCGAACGAAGCCAAACTCGCGTAAGTTGCAAGCAAAATGCCTTCCCGGTTTGCTGCCGTAAACAAACAAAGAAATTTCACAACTAATCAAGCAAGCTGTTTCCGAAATACACGAAGAAGGTGACGAAGTTTGGATTGGAAGTTTTAACAGGTAAAGCTTTGTCTTTTTGACACGAATTTATCGATAAAACCGGTGAAAAAGTTTTTTGTTTACAAATGCAAATTAAGCTTAAGTCTTGCTTACTTTATTCAGTTGAGTTATTCATAAATAAGCTTAAAACTAAATTTGATAATCTTTTTTTATAGAATGATTTTAAATAAAAAAAGAATTCACAACTCCTTTTGAAGAAATTTCCCCGCAAGAGCTAAACAAATGCCTTCAAAAGTTTTAGTTGTCGGCAAGAAAAAGCGACGGCCGCGGCCGCCCGGTCTTTACGCGCCAAAATTGTAATCGTTGGCAACAGTATTTGAGTTAAAAATCGTCATTTTTGTGCTCAATTATCTCACTGTTTTAGTATATACTAAAACAATTATTCACCTCAGTGTCGGTGGCTAGTCGTGGATATTTACCTCACTGCTTCGCAGTTCGGTAAATATCCAGGACTAACCACCTCCACTTCGGTGAATAATTGTTATTTATACTGCTACATGACAAATTTCTGCAATTTGATTGGCTTAGAGCAGTGGTATTTCAGCTTAATTTGAAATACCTACATGTGAAAATCACAAACCTTTTGCGGGTAGTAGTATAAACAAATAATAGCATGATTTGTACGTGATATTTGGCACAAATACCTCTCGTGATATTTCAAAATTGTCTCAAATTTCACTCGCCTAACGGCTCGTGAAATTACGTATAACAATTTTGAAATATCACTCGTGGTATTTATGCCAAATATCACTACTAATCATGCTATTACCTATACTAATTAAGCAAAGTGCAAGGTTACCCAACTTGAAATAAATCATCTCGAATTACGCCATGTTTCGTTGATAAAATAAACCCAACGTTGTCTTGCAAAGTACTATGTGCACCAAATTTTAATCAGTTAATTTAACTGGTCTATTTTTAAAATAGGTTTTCTAAAATGCAGGTAATGCTAGGGAGCAGGGTAGCAAAGACGTGCTCTTGAAGAAATGGTGCTATATATAATATTTTGTTCCTCCTTATTTTTCGCTACAAATTTGTTCGCACTCTTGGGTTATGAATTATACATTTTTTTTTTTTTTTTGCGATATCATGTAATAATATTCATATTAGGACTCGAAGGCTATATTTTCAGTACGTATTCACTGAAAAAACGGTAACCAGATGCACTTTCCGAGTGCCTAATTTTTACTTCTTACAAGGGGTATGACAAGATCATAATCTCTTACTAGCAATTATTTCATCAACTTTATTAAAGGATACTGCTAATCCCTTATCACACCATATGATAGCTTCGTCAAATCTTTCTAAGTGAACGCAAGCACTTGCCCCTGTAAATGAAAAAAAAGCACAGTTAAGCTGCAACTGACATATTTGGGCTTCAATTTCGAGTTGGGTTTAAAAGTTTTGCAGCCTTGATATCTCACGACTAGTTATTCAATACCAAATAAAACCAAGAAATGAAGATAAAATAATGTCTTTGCCCCACGTGACAAGCCCTCCACACCCGCTTTTCATCTGTCACTTTTTTTTCCAATCTTCCTTACCATAAACCAAAATAATGGCTCCTTGTAAAAACAGCTGAAATGAGACAATCGTCTTTTAAATAGGTTTTCCCTTCTAGAACTGCTATTGCTTGAGTAAGAAGGGACAAGCCCATGACATCTGATTGGACTTACCTCGCCAAAACGCTTTTAAAAATGATGGTTGTAAGTCCACGGCAATTTTCGCATCATTCAGTGTTTCAGCATAATTACCTGTGAAAGAATGAATGCGAAAGGACAATTCACACCTCAGAAAAACACAGCATAGTACAATTTCAAGACAGTGCTTCACAGAATTCTAAAATTCTTAGCATTTGTCACATTAACCCACCCCCTCTGCCCCCTCCCCCCGCCCCCAAAAAATCGATTGACAAAAAAATCGATATTTATAGTGTGGGGGTGTGTTCGAGCAACTCGCTCGCTACACGATGAAGTACCTGCAGGAATATGAATATTATTCTTCTTTGAGTACTGCTAACTCACCCAAAAATCAAAGTGAACGGCTCGGTGTGGGTAATGTCTTAGGGTAACTGAACCTACATGGTTGTGATCGACAAGAAGGTACAAACCAATGAAAAACTATAACGCTAGTTAACAAACCCAAACAGGTGCTTCAAACAGACTAATGAACCAAGGTCAGCTCTAACATCACAAACATGACCACCCATGAAAAACTAACATATGATAACAGCAAGCGAAGAATATTCCTAAAATAGCAATAAGTAAATTTGCATAAATTCAAGTACACGTAAAAACAAAAGATCAAATAGGAAAACAATTATGTGGAAAAATCAGGACTAACCTTGACCCACTTAATGAAACAAAAACGAAACTTAAAAGAATTGAGACAAATCCGTCCTAAAAGTAACTTTCAAATACTTCACAACAATAAAAACTAACTTCAACTTCTTACCCAAATTTAAATTTGCTGCTGCCCTGTTGCTGTACAGCTTAGCGTTCAGTTCTTCATCCTTACAGTTCACTTTAATTCCTTTCGTGTAGTAGTGAATGGCGTTGTTAAAATTGCTCTTCTTGTATTCATCGTTGCCCTCATTTTTGTAGACCTCAGCGATTGCTACAATAATAATAATAATACTCACGTAGCGCAATTTCCATATGAAAAAAATTAGTCATAAAAAAACGTGGGAAAATAAGTTTTATTCAGTTTAATTTCAAAACATGATAGGTTGTTCAACAACTTTGGGGCAGCGAACATAAAAGCGCAATTACCAAGGGTCTTTGATGATTTCATTGGAGGAAAGCGGAGTAAGGTTCCATCACAGCAACTGCAAAGACTGTAACGTGAAAGTGTCGAAACAGAAATAAGAGAAGAAAGAAAAGAAGGAGCCAGATTATTTAAAATCTTAAAAGTAATTAAAATTCTCCTAAAATCGATGCGTTGCCTCAAAGGTAGCCACTGCGATTCTCGTAATATTAGTGTGACGTGACAGATTTTAGGCACTAAATATACCAAGCGAGCACGCACGCGTTTTGAATTCAGTGGAGCTTTAAGATAAGACTGCTAAGCAAAGCATAGAATATTACATACTAAATTAGATTGATTTTAGTGTATTTCTAACTTTGAAATAAAACTTGGGTAATAGTAAGTCGTTTTTGTTTCACCTGAACTCAATATTATTACCCTTACATCCGGATAAATAGAGAGGTAAGGGCGTTAGCTGCGCGAAAGTTATCTGCTGTCGACATGATAAGGAAACTGCATAATGTGCCTCACCTTTTAAATTGTCGTCATCAAACTGAAGTGTTTCCTCATTAGCTGATGTGACGTCACCTTCTTTCGAAGCTGTTATTGGAGATCTCGCCATGCTTGAAGATTTACGAATTGCTGATGAAGGTTTTCCCTGCCAATAGATTCAGATAGATTATTGTCCGGTGATAATTAACCGTCTTAGAAAGAGAAATTGTGATTGTTGTATCTTGTTTCGAAATCGGGCTCAGTCAGGCAGTGCAGCATGGAAAGGACCGAGGACTTTTTCTTAAAGCATGTATTTCTTTCTATTACCACCTCCTGGTCGCTCTTATTCAGAAACAAGAACGAGAGCTATACCTGGCCATTTCTTGATCATAGCCAATTCGAAGAGGTATTGTGGTTCTGGTTGTGCACCCTCTCCACAACAAGAAAATTTTAAAGTGCAAGCATAGTTGTTTGTAGCAAAACAACCAGCACAGCCAACACAACCACTTAACCCTCAAAACATAACCACCATAATCCTCCCAACCACCACAATTACCACTCAACACAGCTAACGCAACCAGTTCCACCGTCACAAACTGAACGCAGGGCCATCCAACAACAGTTTCGTTCTAAATACATTGAGAACACTTTTTAAGGCTATCCAGAGCACTTTTAGATCTCTAGAAATGCATGGTTTGTGGAACTATAAAATTTGTATCTGTTCCGTCATCCTAGGGGAACTTGAGTCTTTTCGAAATTATTAGGGCTCTGGTATTGCTTTCCCGAAAATTTTAGATGCAATTTAAAGTTTTACGAAAGTGAGAATTTTTCTAATTCCTCTTTACATCACGTTTTTGAATCCGAAAATTTTAGGCTTCCTTTTTATTACGAAAAATGGCCCAACCTTGGGAGTAAAATGTGAAAAATTAGACTTCAGAAAATCGTAGCAGATTTATTGAAAAAGCTTCGAAAATTGTACATGAATGGAACTGCCATCTAGAAATTTTTAGCCGTGCTCAAGTTATAGACAATTCTAGGCAATATTTGCTTCTCCGAACAGATATTTTACAGAAAACAGTCGTTGGGTGCCCCTGTGAACGGCACCATAACCACCACACATTCATGTTGGTTGTGATGGTTGCGAGGACTGTGTTGGTTGTGACAGTTGCGCTTGTTTTGCTAGTTGTGCGGGCTGTGAGGGTTTTGGTGAATTTGAGGGTTGTGGCGGTTGTGGAGGCATTAGTTGGGCTGTTTGTGTTGGATGTGAGTGATGGTCAGTGTTCTGAGGGTTGTGGGAGTTCCACTCTATATTATTTGACTCATCGGGGTTTCTTGGAATCTGTTCTCTTTGATTGACACTACAACTGTTTCTATCATATAAACAGCAGTAAAATAACAGGCAAAGTGTTTGCATCTTTGCAAAATAAAACATAAGAGCCCGTACACTCTGAAGCTTGTTCATTAAAATCTTCAGGTTGAGCTAGTTGTGCGGGTAGTTGTGCCACAAATACTTATGCTTGAGCCTTAAAATTTCCTTGTTGTGGAGAGTGTGCAGCCTCTTCAAGCCTACCAAGAAACGTGACACATTTGACGAGAGCAGTGAGGCTTAATGACAAAACTAAACAAATGCAATCAAAGACAAAAATTATCAGTTACAAATCTCTACATACAGCCCCAAGGATATACGTGAACCAATCTGTACACCATGTCTTCGTTTTTATGCTGTGAAAAGACGGCTGAAAAGAATCCTATTCGCTAGCTGAGAAATACTGCCTATCAGAGTTTGTTAAATGTGCCACATGGACCAGACTAATTAGCATTCAGATGAGCCAGTGATCATCAGCTTATTATTACTGAACACATGGAGCCTGAGCAGAAAATTCGAAAGAAAGAAATAACGTTTGAAGCTATAAATAAGTAGAAGAGCTATAGCCAAATTGTGGCCGAGATACCTTATCCTTTTTATCTCAGTTTTGAAACAGCAAACAGGTAGCATGGTAGTCTCCTTCGCAGCCGTTTTTAGGCTTCTGGAGAAAGATTTAAATTGCATATTAAATCATGAGATGAGAGCTGAGTTTTTCCCACTATTTTCTGACGGAATAAAAGCAGCTTATACGTCCTTCGTCCCTCCTTATACGCTTCCAAAAGTTCTTTTAATTTACATTCTTCTATATATCTATAGTCAAAGATTTTCATTTTTTTTCTCCTTTCTTTTTCTTCTCCTTTCCCTTCTACCTTGAACTGCACCTTTATGACCTCAAAGCGAACTGAAAGCAAGAAGCATCTTTAATTCCTTACTCGGTTTGGAGTCTTTTTGGTGTCGGCGATGAAAAAAAATACGAAACAGGATATGCAATGTGACAGGCAGAAACCAATGCATTAAACCGAGTATTTGACCCATGTTTTTGTAAATGAGTTTATTCAAATCCTGACGCGTTGACTACCGTAACGCCACTACCTTGACGCTATATGACACCGAAACTAGTGATGTGTAGATCTGGCTCCCCTATTATCTACAAAAACCGTCGCAGATGCCTGATTTCGCTGATTTCTTCATGATAATAACTGAACAGCTACTTTTTCGCATTTCATAGCAAAGTTATTAGTCAGCGTTGGCGAAGAATGTGTTCAACTGGGTTTATGCAGGCCTCTCGTTAACTTTATGGCTGATAGTTTATGATTATGCGATCTCATGGCCTATAATCTCCCAGAATTTCCTAAAGTATGCTTAGTAACGTCTACTTTTAACGACAACGAGAATCGTTCGCTTTTTGTATTAGTTTCTTTATAAGTCTGTAATAATCTTACCTCAGTTGATTTCTAAGGCATCAAACAGAACGGGGACACTTCTTCTGAGGAGTCAAGTCACTGGTATACTGTGATATGTTTCTTGATTTGCCCTTCACAGCGTCGCTAGGTTTTGAGATCAACTTATTTGTAATTTCGAGTCATATTTTTTTTGAAACGCTGGTCAACGTAAGTCTCTAACAGAATCGGCAATGCTGGTTTTCAGATGATCCAGATATATATAAAAGCAATGAAGCAATTCAGATTTTCTCGGAACAGGAAGCTTAATAGTATGAATATTTAATTAGGGGGTTTCACCTCCAGTTTCCGAGAAATCGGCACCAGTCTTACGTACCCTTGAAGAGGAGAAAAACCAGAGAGAGCCTAGGAACGAGGTTGACGACAATCTGCTCAGAAAGAGAATAATCATTATTTCGAATACAGATTTCATTATCTAATCAGGGAACCTGAGTGGCGGATAGTGGGATGAGAAAAATGTTACGGTTCAGTTACTCCTGGCGCAGGGTACAGAAACATGGGAACAGCTTGTGCTTAACCAAGATTAAAGGATTTTCACGACCTAACTGAAATATCAGTCCATACATTCACCATTTTCACATGGACCATAATGACTCTTTTTTACGTCCCAAAATTTAACATAACCATTGTTCCCAATTTCTCCTTGGTATGACAGTCATCCCAAGAGAGATCGAAGACAATGGTTAAGCGAAATTTTGGGGGTTAGAAAAGGAGCATTATGGTCTATGTGAAAATGGTGAATTGTCACGTTTTTTTATTATTATTATCGTTATTTTTGTTGTCCATATTAATAAACTTAAAAAAGTAAGTGTGTATAATCAAATGGCGACGAGTGAAGTAGCGAATAATTTTACGCACGTTTTGACCAAATTCTAAAGGCTCGGGAAATTATTAGAATTTGGACCACCCTCGGAGGCCCAGGAGCGGTCAGTTGGGTCAGGAAAAACAGCGGCGAACGTTTTCAAGAACGGGTAGGAGAACCTCTGGGGTAGAATATTTTTATTAGGAAATTTTAGTTGCATGCTATTCTTAAATAACCGGTTCCACGACCTATTCGACTGCGTGTCTGTGATTGTCCACAAAAATAATTTTGCGCCCAATAAGGGACTAGTCATAATTTAAGTTGGAGGGGGCAGGGAAGGGGGTTGGGGTGGAGGAGAAATTGGGGGCCTTCAATTTTTTTTTTGGATGGAATATGGGGGGCCTGAAAATGCCAAAAGATGACCTTGGGGGGTCTTTAAGTTTCTTTTAAGTAGCATCCGTACTGAGCAGCACGATGTTTGAGTATTAAAGGACCTGATTTGATTCAGTTTTACACAAAGTCCTATATTGTGTAATACTAAAACAATTTAATCAGCATTTTTACAAAAAGATTTAATGCTCAAATAGTAGGTGCATCAACACAACATCCATTATTGTGTAACACTGAAACAATTTCATCAGCATTTTAACAAATGATTACATGCATAAAGTCATGTTACGCAATCTCACTATCCCATTCATTATTTGTAGATGAGGTTGATGTGGACTCACTGTCTGTGTCACCGTCAAGTTTTTTGCTATTAGGGCAATGCACTGCTCATATAAAAAGCAGTAAGCTTTGGCTGATTATTTTCTTTCTTCCTTGAAGCGGTCCTGTCGGCCTCTCACCTTTCGATGGCTTGTCTTATCTCAATTATAACACAATCACTGATATATCCTTGCTCTATAAGCTGTTTGAGAGGCTCTAGGTGAAATCTCTTTCTCAGTTTAGTGTGAGGTGCTTCTCTGTTGTTAGTTGGCACATCCGAAAGTGACAGTGAGTAAGAACGGTAAAGTAAAGAAAATGTTATTTGTTATTACCATTTGGGCATTATGTATAAGAAAGGGGGGCCCTTAAATCTTTTAACATGATTGAAGGGGGGAGTACCTAAAAAACATGGGTGCTATTAGTGGGGGTCCGGAAAAAATTTGGAATAAAAAACAATTCCTCCTCCACTCCCCCCTCCAACTTAAATTATGACTGGTCCCTAAGGAGCCAGCAAAACTTTCGCCGTCGTTTTTCCTGACCCAACTAACCGCTCCAGGGGTCTCCGAGGATGAATTTGGACAAAATTCCCTAATTTCACGCGTATACCATTTGATTACCTATTAATAGGGAACTTAAGAACCACGACGACGACTTTGTCGACGACGACTTTGTCGACGACGACCGGAAGTGAGTTACGGAATACTGCGCAAGCGCGACCAGTAAATTTCGTCGTCGTGGTCTCGTCGACGACGCCAAACAAAGTAGAATCACGTCGTCCTGCAATCCACAAGCCTTGGCAGGTATAAATCCACTGTTTTAAACGATTTTTGAAGTCCTTTGCATTTTCTTATCCTCGCGAATCCAGGTATCGTTCCTTTTTTCTCCTAACAAGCGATGTTGATTGAAAATTCGACTAACGAATTGTTTTACCGCTTCGAAGAATGACACAGCTGTGGAGGCCGAGCGAGCGAAGTCGTAAGTGATCAATTTATTTGTACGTATTTAGGTAAGACAAATCATGTATCTTTAATATAGAGGAAATAAACTTTACATGGAAAACAGCTATCACATCAGAATGTCGCTTTTTCCAAATCTAAACTCTGACAGGCACTCGGACTCGGTCATCTCATGCCGGTCGAAAGTTGAATAATCTTTGTACAGAAAGCAGGTGTTTTTCCACTCGTAAAGGTCAGACAACTCAAAAAATTCTCCATCGTCCATGAAATTAGGCGCAGGGCTTAAAAAATAAGATCTTGCGTTGTTTTAAAAGACGCCATTGCAAAAAACTTTGTTGCGAACGAACATCACAGTTTACATTTGTGTTTACATTCAGTGTCGTCGTCGTCGACCTAACGACCGACTGCATCTTAAGTTTCCTTTTTCCCGCCGAATCTGACGTTCTCGTTCCAGTCTTTTCCCAGTCAACAGACGTCGTCGTCGTGAACTCCGTCGTGGTTCTTAAGTTCCCTAATATCATATGTCACAAACTACGCTCACAATCATGGGTTTTTGACATGTTTATCATATATCGATTATCGATCGAGAACTCCTCGCACTGAAAAGTTTAGAGCTTGAATTTTCGCCTAAATGCAGAATTTTCTTTATTTTTTTCCATATATCCTCTGATTATTATAAACTTTAATAACTTTAAGCTGCTTGACAAGATAATCCAAATACAGGTTTCTAATCTTGAACCAATAGCTAAGTGAGTACCTGTCAACCTAACTGCAATATGCCATAACAACGGCAAGGCTAAATAGGATATATTAGCAGAGGCAATACAACAGAAAGTATAAAGACGAACTTTAGAGCTATTATAATGGACCAGCTATAGTGTAATGATTGTGTCTTTACTAAGCTACGCTACGCCTACCGGGGAATTACCACAATACATCAACTGGGAAAAAACTGAACAAGCTGGGTGGTAAAACTGTATGAGCAGGCCCCAAAGATTGTTAAAACTGGACAATGTCACTTGATATAACTGTCAATAGCGTAGAGTCCAAGTAAGTTAAAAAGCAAAAATGTCTGAAAATTAAACTAATACCTTGACATTTCCTAATAAACAAACATTAATGCTCGTCTCATTTTCTGAACTCATGAAGTTGCTATTGAACTTTATTGTCGTTCTTGAACTTTAGTGTCTTTATTGAACTACACGAAAAGGAAAACTAACGCCTGGGTGGGAGGCTAAGCCACCCATGTACTGACTGCAAAAATATCTTTCGATTTCTTAATCACGATTTTCAATTTTTTCCAGGATTATAATGATAATTAAGCTTTGTGTAAAGCAGCTCTCACTATTTTCTTTTGTCACTTTAGGCTAGGAAACTTACTCCTGAGAAAGCGCATGAGTACATCAAAAGTCGAAGACCTCACATCTTACTTTGTTCTCGGCAATGGGAAGCCATTCGATTGTTCCATAAACGCCTTACTCAACAAGACAATGTTCTCAGTTGATAAAAATCCCCAACTTCCTTAATTTATGGTAAATGGTGACTAATGGCCCCAGCAGCGTATTTAACTTCACCCTCCCCAAACCCGTGGGTGCAGTTTCAAAAACTGAGACATTCTCTATTCCAAATCTACTCAATTCCGGAGCATTTGCCAAATTTTTAGCTTCTGTTACCTTGTACTCAAGTAAAATATCTCACTTGTGAAGCGCTTGTACCAATTCATGTACATTTTGCTTTCCCTATTTTACTGTATAAATGCATTTAAAAATGCCATCAATTAAAAGAACTAGATACAGGCATGGCCTCTTAAAGGGGCACTGTGGTAAAAAATGTCTTGTTCCCTAGATATTGTGATCTAAAAACTTCCTCAGTAAAATTAATGTAACAGCAGTAAGGCTGAAGCTGTCATTTCCAAAAGTGGCTGAAAATTTGTGGGGAAAAACTGATTTTGAATACTAAAATTTGAAATGATTAATTATGGCAAAGAAAGGATATACTTGCCAACTTACCTGACTTATCGTTATTCAGCTTGTGCGATAATTACGGAGCCTGGCCTGCCTCGACTAGCTTTGCTATTTGCAAGCTTGTCTTAAATGTTTTGTAATTTAGTTACGAATTCAAATAAACATTAGGTACTCGCTAAATCATCACAACACAAGAGCGCGTCCCCCTGAACACGGTTAAGCTACGCGTCGAAGGTCGTCTAGTCCATCGCTGAATTGTATAAGCCAAAATTTTGCAAAAGGTGTACAAGAAAAATGTTGTGCTTTTTCCCTCTTCTTGAATGTTTCCTAAAATGTCCCAAGTGCTCATGTAACTCAACAACGCGTGAGAATCATTTCTTTACTTTCGCGTGCTAATTCGTCTGGTGATAAGAAAGGATCGCGTGCACTCGTGTTTATACGAACGAACAACATACAATGGAGGCGTGTTGGGAGAACTATGACCTTGAATATTCACTAAATGACGTCTGCAAAATACAACTTGACTATCTACACAATTGTAAACGTAACAACTATAAATGTATAAAATCTGGGCTAAAGCCTTAACTGGAAGAACCTTTTGACACTACAAGGGAAAGGTGGGAACGCATCCCTCAAGCAAATGCAGGCGCATTGGGAGGGTAAAACGGACAAAGGAAATACAATGGAACTTCTCCATGGGGACACCTTTATTCAAGTGACACCTCCACTCAGGGGACACAAAATTTGGTCTCAGAAAAATGTTCGCATAATCTTTGTGTCTGTTACCTCTAGTGAAGGGTCA